ACGTAAAATTTGTTCGCAATGTAGAAGGTTTGCATGCAAACAACACATGAGTGATACTTGCACGGCATGCCTGAAGGAATAGAAGTTTGTCATATTGGGGACTCCAGAACATTGCCATTTATTATTATTTGATTGATTTGGATTTTGTGTTAGGTTAAGTATGTTGTATTTTTTCTCTAAATAATAAGTTGTGGTTCCACAGTTGTATATTTCATTTGCAAAAGACAATGAATACGAGCTGCTTCGAAAATACATAAGAAATATTCATAATTGGTATTTTATGCACATGCTAAAACATATTTGTACATGAAAGCAAGGAAATCACATTTTAGCGATTAAGTAATATCATAGTGAATATATCTTATGAAAAAAGCGGCATAAAAAAGGCATAAACAAATTTTATATGGAATAAAAGTTGGGCTACAATTGTAGCCCGCGCGCCCAAATACGTTATAAACAGCCGCGCGCCTAACCGAGGGTTAATTAAATATTGGGTAAGAAATTTCGAGAGCACTGGAAACACGTGTATTAGTAAACCGCCTGGACGGCCAAGGTCAGCAAGATCGAACGAAAATATTGAACGTGTGCGCCAGTCCGTTAACGAGGATCCCCGGCAATCATTAAGACTGCGTGGAGCGTCTCTAACTTTGCATAAGTCAACTGTTCATCGCATTATTCGCAAGGATTTGCATTTTCACCCATACAAGATTGTTGTTACACAACAATTAAAACCACAAGATCCCGCTAATCGATTAGAGTTCTGTAGAACAATGAGAGAGCATTTTAACGGTTACAACAACATATGGTTTTCTGATGAATCGAATTTTCACATTAACGGGCATGTTAATAAACAAAACTGCCGATATTGGGCCGAGCAGAACCCGCAAAATCTTCATGAGACGCCATTACACTCGCCTAAAGTTATCGTCTGGGCTGCTATGTCAGGGCAAGGAATCATTGGCCCGTATTTTTGTGAAGACAATCGTGGCCAAGCTCAAACTGTAACATCTGAGCGCTACTGCCACATGATTAGGACTTTTTTAACTCCAGCTATACAGAACCATGGTGGCTACAATAGAAACACGTTTTTCCAGCAAGATGGAGCGACTTCTCATGTCACGAATGAATCCTTGGATGCTCTTCATCAGTTATTTCCAGAGAGGGTCATCAGTCGCAGAGGAGACATTAACTGGCCACCGAGAAGTCCCGATTTGACACCAGCAGATTTTTTCTTATGGGGATACCTGAAGAGTAAGGTATACACCCCACCGCCACAAGATTTGAGAGAGTTGAAGCAAAAAATAACAGATGAAATAAACGCCATTCCTCGAGCAATGCTTCGGAGAGTGATCGAAAACTTCAGTTCGAGATTAAGAGAGTGTGAAAACATGAACGGTGCTCATTTATCCGATACTTTTTTTCCATAAATAAAATTAATGTTTAGGCTTTCGTTTGGTAATAAATTTATCTTTGTAAAAATATTCTAAGTATTTTTATTTATGGCATAAAATAAGAAAATATTTATGAGACACCCTTTATTTTAAAACCTTCTTTTCTACAATATACAAGTTATAAAAATGCTTCATGCTCTGAATGCAAATCAAAAATCCCAAAAAACAGTTTTTCTTGAAGAATGTATTATTAGTACCTAATCGCAATCCATGGATATATTGAACTGCCTCGTCAAAGAATTTAAAAAATGTATCTACAGTGGCTGGAGAAAGTGGGCGCTTGAATAAGTACTTTGAAAACCTGTTTCTAGAGTTGAAAATATCGAAAAGATCATTAAATGTTTGCACAAATCTTCCGGTACCTTCCACATTAGCAAACGTCGCTACTTTCAAATCTTTGAGTAAATAGGTCAAAGCATCAGCAACACTTCTTCTTAAAGTTTGTGTAGCTATTTTGACCCTCATTTTTTCTCTCGTCCACTGCAGATGACGGTTTCTTATTTTTGTGCCCAAATGTAAACCTTCGGTATTTTGTACATCAACTAACTTCACCAAATAATCTCAACTTATCTGATTGTTTTCAGATTGACCTAAACATTTGAGGGAACCAATAGCGTTTTTGACTAATTTTTTCATGTGGTTTGGATCTAGGAATATATATATATATACATTTGGACTCATTATAGGATGGACAAAATAAATCAAGTTTGTTACAACAGAAGTCATTGTCAAATGTTAATGATGGAACACAGAAGTGTGGATGGAGGTTAGGCATTTCTTCACGAGTTCTGCTTTTTCATAACCAGTCAAGCCATCCAACAGAAAATAACCCACTGGAATTTTCCTTGCTCCATTCAAGCATACTAACATAATAACCAACGCCTCCTTTGCTTCTGGTAGAACATCTGATTCTATGTTAGCCCCAATATCTACATACCCCGTGAACTTACTACCTGTCCATTCAACTTGTTGCCGGATAGACATCTCATCCAAGACTAAATTACACATAACAGTAGAGTTTTTGTCTACATCTTCTTCTTGTTTCAATTTTGAGGTCACAATGGATTTCACAGTAAATCCTTGTCAAATTTTTCATCTTATTTTGTTATATAATAATAAACCTAAATACATAATATCAATATCTAAAACTTGCCTTTAAGTAATCCTCATGTAATACTTCCTACAAAGCCTTGCACGTTTCGGGTATGATGCGCCCTAAAGCTTGAGCAGATATTCCAGTAGTAAATTTAAGATCTTCATAACTACGTCCACTAGCAAGGAACCGAAGGGTGGCAACTAGCCGGTCATTGGCAGGTATACTTCGCCTTTTTGCAGTATCTTGCTTACTGAGATAGGGTCTCATTAAATTTAGAAGCTCATCAAACGTGTTTCCATCCATTCCTAAAAAAATTTTGAAGTCATCTGGATTATTATCTCTCAATTCTCGCAAAAGCGACATGTGACAATATTTTTCTCTATCAGCCGGCCAACCTTTCTGCCATACACGTCGTTTTTTCTTCTTGTCTTCAGAGATTCCTATTATTATATTTTTCTCTTTTTATCCATTTCAATCCAAGTCATATAAAAACAATTCAACAAGCCACCAAAAACAGCTAAAATTTAACAAACTACTTGAACTCTAAGGCGGAACGACTGGTAGCGAAAATCACGTTGAAAATTTGTACATGTCTACGTGCCGTTCCAAACGCCACACTAAATGACACTTTTTGCCCACACACATACGGTTTTTCCCTTGAAACTGATGTACCACGCTGTTCTTTCGTGCATACTAACCGCCACGTCCTAACACGCCACGATATTTGAACTGAAAGAACGTGTGTGTATGGCCAGCTGCAAACTGCCAATCTGCTTGAACGCCATACCAAAATGTGACGATTGATAAAAAATTGGAAGCTTTCCGGGGAAGGTGAAGCTTCCGTCAATACATCCCAAGCAAGCCCAATAAGTATGGAATTAAAATAAACGCTTTATTAGATTCAAAGACATTTTACACTACAAAGTTAGAAGTGTATGTTGGTACTCAACTAGTTGGTTCATACGCTGTAAGCAATTCGCCATTTTCACTTGTTCAAAGATTGCTTGAACTATTTAGGGGTACCAAACGCAACGTCGCATGCGACAATTGGTTTTCCAGTATTCCGCTAGTACGTACGCTTCTAACTGATTTTAGTCTTACCTACTTAGGAACCATTCGAAAAAATAAACGAGAATTACCTGCTGAATTATCTTGTCCACAAAGTCCACCTCCAGGATTAAGTCTGTTTGCTTTTGATAAAGATATAACTTTAGTATTATATATGCCAAACAAAAAGAAAAATGTAATTCTAGTTTCCAGCCTTCATTACGATGATAAGGTCGATCCAAATGCAGGCAAACCAGATATGATTGTTGACTACGACAAGATTAAAGGCGGTGTAGATACTTTAGACAAAATGTGTGCTGTATATGACTGTGCCAGAAATACGCAAAGATGACCTATGATGGTCAAATTTTTTCTCTACTGGACATGGCTGGTGTAAATTTAATGGTACTGCTTTACTTGCAAGACTCTGGTATAAAAAGGCGACTATTTTTACATAGACGTTCATCTGAATTGGCCAAAAATCATATCCGTTCTCGCGCAGTGGAAAAGAATATTTCTAAAAGCTTAACTCTACGAATCAAAGAAATATTTGGTATTGAAGATGCTACTCCTACTCCCAATCCTGTGAATACTCGAGGACGATGCAATTATTGTGACAGAAAAAAAATCATCCAACACGGTTTTCATGTAAAAAAATGTACCAAATTTATGTGCCTCGAATATTTAACCTGCGTATGCTCAGAATGCTATTCTGACAATATTTCGTAGAATAAACACAATTATTATGTTATATTTGATACATATTGAAATAGAAGTCCCTTTAGTTAGTTTTTGTAATTTGTTTTAAAAAGAATGGTTTTAAACTTTTTTATGTATTTGCAATGATGTATAGTTGTTAAGAATAAATAAACAGTTTATCAGCACTACCGTGGTGGGTGTCAAAGTGTCTTACAATTATGGGAAAATAACTTCAAGTCCGTGTCCAACTCGTCGGAACCGTGAAGAAAGAACGTTTTGGTACCGTAAAGGGCGCTCCGCGTCCAGGAAGATCGCATGCAGTAGACAAACCGGAGAATCGTGAACAGCTGGCTACACTGTTCGTGGCAGCACCAACAACATCTTCGCGAAAGGGTCCATTACAGCTACCGACGCCGATAAGCATCTATTACACAGGGCGAGATTAGTAGCCAATCGCCGGCGAGTAGCGAGTGAGCGAGCGCAAATTACACAGCGCTAGTAAAATCGCTTTACTCGCATCGTATTGAACCTTTGAAAAGTGTTTAGTTTGTATCTTTTGTGCGATAATAGAATCTAAAATAGCTGTTAAATGGAACAGTAATCAAATTATACAGTTCTTAAAAGTCTATGAACGATTTCCCGTTTTATGGAATATAAAACACAAAGATTACGTTAATATCAAACTCAAAGATGTTTTATTCAAGAAAATGTGGGAGCAATTAGAGGATAAAGGGCTTTTAAAAGGAATGGACGAAAAACAACAAAAAAACAAAATAAAGAATTTAAAAGATGTGTTTCGTCAAGAACTGGCTAAGATAGAACGAAGCAAAAAAAGTGGCTGTGGAACAGAGGATATTTATACCCCAAAGCTAACATGGTTTGAAGCTGGCCATTTTTTCGCTGAAGTTTTGTCAACAAGGCATAGTAATTCAAACTTGGTAAGGAGATTTTAGAGCTATATATTTTTATTAAGCAAATTATACATAACAAATAAAGTTAAATTTTCTTTAACACTTTGAGCAGAATTAATTTGAAAAATAATAAATCACTTAAAAATATAAAAAATGTTCAAGCTAATTCCAATCCCACTTTTTTCCATTGCCACGGTAAAGGATTGTCTTCCATAAAATACTTAGCGTATTTGCGTCTTACTTCCTCTGCAGAATTTTTGTAGTTGTTGCTTCCCAAATGACTAACCGTTGGCAGATTATTCACGTGGTTTCTCCATTGCCCAAAAGTAATATTGCCCGTGTTAAGATCCTCTCTATCCACGGCATTTTCAGGAAAATAAGTATTTGGGCTACTTTTTTTCAGCCAGTTGTGGAGACTACATGCTGCCAAAATAACATTGTCAATTGTAGTTTCTTTTAATTGAATTGGTCTTGAAAATATTCTGATGCGCCACACAATAATACCAAATGCATTTTCCGATACTCTTCTTGCGCGAGAGAGTCGGTAGTTGAATATCCTTTCAGTATTATTAAGCTGTGACTTACTGTAGGGTTTCATTAAGTTGGTTCTCAATGGAAAGGCATCGTCCCCAACAATGACCGAATTTTCAGGCATGTTAAGTGTGTTATTTTGCATTGCTATGTTCAAAGTACTGTCCCTAAATATTGCACTGTCACTAGCTCGGCCGTTTGCTCCAATGTCAATGTAAGTAAAGCAATAATCTGCGTCGACCATTGCGAATAACACGATACTATATGTTTTTTTGTAATTAAAGTACATTGACCCAGACTTGGGAGGTTTTTTAATCAGAACATGCTTGCCATCAATTGCTCCACAACATCTTGGGAAATTCCAACGAAGGAAAAAATTGTATTGAATTTGTTTCCATTCATTGCTTGTTGAAGGCATCTGCAAGAAAAAAATATGACTAAAAAAATTTGTTCAATTCTTAAATCAAGCAAAAAGTTAAAAAAATCTTTACAAATTTGTTCTATTTTTTTTCAGACTCTACCCAGCACACAAAATATATCTGAAGAAATCTCAAATTCTCAAATTGAACAGCGTGACGATGAAGAACCCGATACACAGCTCAAGGAACAAAATATGGGATGGGAACCCCTAAATCGAAAAAAAGGGTGAGAAAACAGGCAGATCCAGAAATTGGCGATGCAATCAGTCAGTTGAATAAAATAGCTGAAAATGTATCAGAAGGAAAACCGTACGACGAATTTGGAAAGTATGTAGCTGCAGAGCTGCGTCAATTACCCCAACGTGAGGCTATTTTATTGCAGCAAGAAATTCAGAATTCTATTACACGTGTAAAGCTAATGTATTTGGGAAATGATAATCAACTAAATAATTACTACAGAGAGCCCCTTCAAGTGCAAACTTTTTCACCGTTATCCTCCCCCAGTGATCCCAGCCCTGCCTCATCAGCAACATATGAAGCAAATATGCAAAATGACAAAGATAGCGTTTATGGTAACGATGTTATTCATCAAGCACTATTAAATACATTTTCGGGGGCAGAGTTTGAAATAGTAGAAGAAGTTTCTCAATGAAATAGATTCTATTTTTCATATAATTATAAAAATATTTTGTTTTATAAGTATAAGTACTGTGTTAAAAATAAATTGATACTTAAATTATACCCTACCTTTATATATGGCTTTAGGACCTGACAAATTGCTGCAAGTAAGTCGGGTACAAACAATGAAATTGTACATTCAGGCACTCGAAATAAATATTCTAGTGATTTGAACGAATCACCAGTTGCCAAAAAGCCTAGGGTTATTTCTGGTTTTGTAGCAGTTGGAATCGCCATCCTCATTTTTGTGTCTTTTTTGCGGATTGTTTTGTCAACCATTTGTAATAGTACATTAAACTGTTCATTGCTCATTCTCAAAACATTCCTATATGCCACAGGATCTTCATCCTTTAATTGTCTTAATAAAATATTAAAGCCCCATGTGTGTCCCGTTTTGAAATCCAATTCCTGACCCACATCCGTCTCGCTTTCCTTTTTTTCTGGTTTAACCGTTCTTGAAGTTTTTTCCGAATTAAAAGGCTGACAAAAACAATTCCTACACGCACTATATCGGCCATTTTATCCAACTAGTCGGGCTTTAGCTTATTACACATAGCGTTTTCACTCGTCAGAGAGAAAAATTGCGAGCGAGTAGCGAGAAAAGTAGGCCGGTGTTCAACTTTACTCGCTGGGAAAAAGCGAGCCGCGAGTTTACTAGCAGCTGCGATTACATTTGACGACTTTTATAGCAGTGAGTAAATTCGCTGACGAGTAACTACTAATCTCGCCCTGTGTAATAGATGCTATATTACGTACTTCACACCAACGCATAGTCAACCGGATAAAATTTAAATACTATCATCCTCGTTTAGTCCACGGTTTACTCAAGGACGATCCTGACACGATTACAGTCCTGCGAATTAATGTTGAACGAATACGAGCACGACTCAGACATTTTCGGAAAAATTTTGTGGAGCGATGAAGAGCAATTTAAATTAAAATTAAACGGATTTATCAACCGTCATAATTGTGTCTATTACGACATTGAAAATGCGAATTTAACATACTAACAACAGTTGAATCAACCTCGTTTGACTGTAGGGAGTGGCATGAGTCTCGTAGTTGTGTAACCCGTATTTCTTTTATGGGACGGTCACAGGAGCAACCTACCTCAACATGCTGCAGGATTACTTGGTACCTGGGCTGAAAACTTTCTGCGACACTTTTGGTGACCTGTAATACCAACACGATGGAGCTCCAGCTCACTGGAACAATGTGATATGAGACTACTTGAACCACGAGTTAGACGGGCGTGTCATTGGTCGGCGGGGGCACATCGACTGGCCCCCCATATCATCAGATTTAACATGTATGTCAATTATACCGTATTTGCTGGCAAACCCGGCGGTACATTGAGGACGCTTTTGAGGATATTGAGACGAACCCCGTTCAGTGGCGACGTGTTATGGCATCCAATCCTACACAGCAGTGTATCAATCTTGAAGGCTCCCATTTTGAACACCTGTCGTAACTTGTTATTTTTTATTTTGTTATTTGTATGCTGACAGTATTTTTTAATAGATAAAGCTTCTTTCTATGATTTCTGGTTTTGTAGCAGGAATGGATGTCTACTGGGTTAAGTGTGACTGGGAGTAGGTGGAACCTGACTTTTGGGCCATAAGACTTGACTTTTGGGCCACCCTGTACTTGTATTTTTGAATAACTACTTCACTAAAGAATAATAGTAAAAAACACAAAAACGTATAGTCATTCCTAACGGGAAGCGGATAGATCAGCGCGTCATGAAATGTTGATTTGGAATGGGAAGCGAATGAATTAGCAAGCGGCGTATTTCCCGTAAGGACAGACATATTTCGAAACAAGATGCTCTGTTTAATACTTAGTGAAGTCATCTACTATGTATGACAACGCCGAGATTACTGACATGCATTTCATGTATGACAATTCATTGAATGGTCTCCTGGCCATAATATCTCCGACCGAAAAATCTTCGAAAACGTTAATCGAAGCCTTCATGAAACAGGCACCTTGAAACGACATGGAGGGCCAGTGAGACTAATGACAGTAAGAACGGTGCAACCAATACTTTGAATGTAAGTCATTGAAATGTTTGGGAAATTCTTAAGGGCAATTTGTTGTAACCATACGACAATCAACGTGTTCAGGCACTACTACCTGCTGATTATGGTCCAAGTATTGCGTCACGTCAATGGCTTTTGCAAAGATTAGTTCTAATCCCTCAATTCCTGACACATACTCTTTTCACGGATGAAGCCAGTTTCACAAGAAATACAGTACGGAATATTCATAACAACCTTTGTGGGCAGATGAAAATCCGCATAAGATATGTGCAGATCGATCTCAACATCAGTTCTCCTTGAATGTTTGGATAGTAATTGTGGGTGTCTATTTAATTGGTCCGTTATTGACTGGCGAGATTTATCGTACCTTTTTGGAAGAAACACTGCCCGAGTTTCTGCAGGATGTACCATTGGCGACAAGAACTGCAGTGTGGTTTATGCACGATGGTGCACTGCCCCATTTCAGTTTGGTTGCTCGTGATTTGTTAATAGCATCATACGGAGATCGCTGGGTTGGTCGAGGTGGGTCATACGCATAGCCTGCTCGATTCCCACTTAACCTCCACTTATTTTTTATGGGGGCCTCTGAAGTGATTACTTTACGCTACTCCAGTGGAGCATTTGGATGAATTGCGAAATCGGATAATTGCTGGGTATAAGTATATTAGAAATAACCCTAGTGTGTTTGAAAGAGTTCGGCACTCAATATCGAGAATATTGAACGGTTGTATCCAGGCTGGAGGAAGTCATTTCGAACATTTTTTGAAGACTGAGCAACATTAAATGCACTTTTCGATAATAATATGTTATTACAGTCGCAAATATTGTTCACCCTGCATTTTCGAAACAAAGGTTCAGAAACCATCATAGGACAAAATATTCTTATAATGGGCTGACGAATAACCGCTTGATTGTTTTCCGCATGTTTACGTAACGGAGAGAGCTGTGCTTATTTTGTAATAGCCCTTGCGGGCAAGAACATTTGCTGGATCAGAAGACAGGAATGACAGGTTGGTTGGTTGTGCGTTGCGAAAGAATTCACAACACCTAATTATTCCTGTGTGCCATCGCGAAACGTAAACAAGAATGTAAAAACTAATTGAGTAATGTAGGCATGCTCGGTCCTCACAACAGATTGCAATTAAAATAATAAACAATTTGGAAAAATTTAAAATCGGGGGAGAACTGAAAATTAGTCTGGCTTTGGTTCGCGAGCGGATCGGTTGGCTCCCAAGGGTTGGTTGGAGACGCGATGGGACCTTTTCGGACTGGCGGTTTATTGAAAGATTAAATCCTCGAGAAGGAATGGCCCTCAGGTAAGTGTTGGTTTGTGAGAAGGTACTTCAAAGATACTCCTGTTGACACATTCGTTTATTAAACCAATGTCTAAAGATAAAACTGTTGTTTACCTCAAGGTTTCAAGGGCTATTATAGGAGGGCACTTACAAGAGGATCTACACTTGGAGTAATTTGGGCAGACACATCAATATTGGACTCTATTCAAATGCTTCTATGTATCCTTATTGGTTGGCCTGTCTCCCTCTCGGCATGTATTTTGACCACCTGTGAAAGCAGTCAGAGTTTATATTTCATTCCCATAATCAATATCATCACGGAAGTAACCGCAAGTAATGTAGATGGCTTTGCTGCCATCGCTGAATATTTGGGTGCAATTATAGCAGGCGACGGAATTCAACTCACTCAGATGACAACCGACATCGAACCCCAGTCCGAGTTCATTCAAATTAGACCTGCTGAAGCAGCTGTGGCAGAAACGACAACGGACAACCCTTCAACAAGTGGAACGCTACCAGCAGTGAAGGCCCATAAGTCGCGTTCAAAATCGCTGAACCAAATGAACGATGTATTTGAGAAAACAAAGAAAGCTACCAAGAAGCCAAGCAGCCAAACTGACATACACATAAATGCATTCAAAGAAAGCAAATGAAAGCGGACGTTCAGACTGCCGAGTTGCAATTGTCGCTGGAAATGGACAAAAACCAACAACAGCGATATCTTCTTCATCGCGACGAGGAAAATCTAAAGCGCTTGGATGACTGGCGAAAATATATACAGGAACTGAAAAATAGAAGAAAACGTCAAATGGAGGATGCGATAAAAACGGTCGAAAACTTGAAAGACGTTGCAAAACGAAAAAGGAGGCAAGCTTTCAGTAGAAGAGGAGAAACTTTTGTTTTTGTTTGATTTTTAGAAATGTAGTAGTATTAAAAAGCGATGAGAGATAGCGAGGGAGGATTCACAATTATCCGCAAATAAATGAAACATTCAATTCCTATAAGGGGTTAGACGAAAGCTTCAATAAGGAGATATATGACACATTGCTATAGAAAATAGAAACCATAGCTAAAAGATATGTGATATTTTTCACTGAATAGAGTACGATGTTACCGCAAGCAATAAATGCTATTATCTGTTTCTAAATTGTTTTTCAAATGACGTACACAAATACAAATAAAATATAGTAGGTAAAACCATAAATGAGTATATCAATATGAAAAAAGCTTGGGATGCTTCCAAATTTGAACTGTTTGCAAAATATGGACATGGTGGTGTACCATCTCATATACACTAAGTGACATGAAATGCAACACCAAGGATTATTTATTGAATTTTGATAAAAGCTTGTAAACACAATTACTGAATGGATGGATGAAAGTATACGCTGATAAAATGTTGAAGGCATTCCGAGCCGTACTTTTTTTAAAGGCTTTTTCTGTCATATCAGCATCCGAACAATATGAAAATGTTTATTTAATATTCAGTGATTTTTGCCTAGAGTTCGCAGACGCGCTAATTTCACTCAACTTTTCGACTTCGGGTTACGTGAAGCCGGATTTTCTTTTAGATAAATCGCTAATCGGGTGAATCGAAACGAAGCACTGTAATGAGATGTTACCGAGCGTATTTCCAAGAAGGCTGAAATCGACGAGTTAAAAGTACTGGACGTCAGAGACGGACTACAGAGCGACAGTATCGTTATTTGCGACAATAAGCACTTGCGAACCAGTAGTTTGATGCTGTCGAAAGGGCAAGAATAATGAGGACAGTTTATCGCCGACTAAGGTCTTTTAGGGCCAATTTCACGAACAACAGTCCGTTATTCTCCACCTATAGGGTAACAGCCCGTGAAATACAGCGAATGGGCTTCAAGTTCCAATCAACAAATTTTAACAACCAATAGCTATGAAATGTTGAAAACAAAATACTGTCAAAGTATGAGATGATATCTTGTCATTGAAACATCATCAGCTTATTGAATATTAAGAAATTACATATAATTCAGTCAAAATTTAAACAAATGTTTGGTTTTTGAATAAAATTCATGATTTAATTACTATTGTTGACTTTTTATTCATGTTTATATTATTTTCTTCAATTGATATGCGATTTTACTGATTCAAGATCGTCTACTGGGTGTTTTTTCCTATAAACCTCTTGCAGATAGCCATTAAGCGCCTACTTGATGACTGGCTCTACCAAAAAGTTCATAGATATTGCTCGTTTCCAAAAATTCATTCATTTATTTGTCGTTCATCAGAACCATTATGGCACCTTAGATTGATATTTCCACAAAACTATTCAGGTCTTTTGATATCCATACA